TCATGGGTGTATTCATCATAATAGTTTTATAATTACAAAAAAAATGGTAATGAATTAACTGTCCATCAAAAGAAAACTGTAATATAATTTAATTTAACCATAAAATGAAGTTAATCTATTCATATTTACATGTAAATTTCATTATTTTTTGAGTAAGTAAGATAAGTTACAGAGCAATGTACATAACAGACTTCATTTTTTAAGTATACATAAAACCCTACAGTTTGGTGTTTGAGTTAGACATTCATTCCTACATGATAAAACAAGTATCTTTGAGAAATAGTTTAGGAAAGAGATGGAGGTAAAGAAGTACTTTCATTGTTTACTGTCTGAACTTTTTTAAAATTAGACAAGGCATGTCTCCTTAAAATACCCTCTAGTCAAATGGTAGACATTGGGTAATATAATGTCTGCAGCTAATCACCCACCTAATGAAGTGTTGGGAAATGAAAGAAACCAAATGATTTCACACACTGCTAAATCCTGATTGGACTCTTTAAGTTACCAATCTCCTAGAGTTGAGTTTAAATTCCTTCTACAAATTCAAATCATCAGAAGATAAAATTCTTACCAGAATAAACTGGAGACATCTGGAATTTGAATACCACCTTCCCTGTACATTTTGCCTGGTGATCACAAAGGTAATATTAATTGACCATATTTCAAGTAGAATGCTCATTTTTTAAAGTATTATCTTCTCTCATAAGGAAAAACAGCAGGGTGAAAGAGTAACATTATTTTGTTCTTATAGGTAGCAATTTGAAAGATGAAAAGTACAATTCTACTATTTTGTCTCCTGGGATCAACTCAGTCATTACCAGTAGGTACAATATGTTTACTTTATGTACCAACTAGCCTTGACAGCATCTTTAGTTCCAGACCTTTCTCTCATCCTGCTTTCTATCAAAACTACTCTGTTCTGTGACTGTTCTTTTTGGTTTTCTGTTTTTATTTTCCAAGGAAAAATTTGATGAACTAATAAGATGTTGGTGCATATTTTAATAATTTGTATTTTAAAAATGCATCCACTATCAGAAGAATTTCACTATTTTTCATTTTAAAAATGTATCCACAATCAAGAAGAATTTCAATTATATTGTCAAAGCAATAGGATAGAAATGAGAAGCAAAAGAATGCCTTAGATCTACTTAAATAGATAAACTTTTTTTTCCAAAAGTGAACTTAAGATTTGTCTAGCAATTAGTTATTTGTTCATGACTAAAAGCTATATTTTCTGTGTTTTTCTAATTGAAAACACAAAATATCTAGATTGCATGAACTCTAAAAAAAAACCTACCAAATTGTGGGATGCCAAAAGCATATTATAAAGTGGTCAATATTCTTTACTTAAAACATTTTGTCAATGGGCTGGCAGAGTGGCTCAAGTGGTAGAGCACATGCCTAGCACTTGTGAAGGCCCTGAGTTAAAACCTCAGTGCCACCAAAAAAAAAAAAATCTCATCAAGAAATGTGTTCACATATAACAGGCCTTTGAAAGAAAAGAGGACTAGTGCTACACCCTTACTCCTGTTATCCTCCATTACTTTACAGACATAGAGATACATGGTTTGGATTTCTAAGTGGACTTCTTAATGACTGTTCAAGATGCTTAAGTATGGACATAAAAAAAGAGATTTCATGAAATAGAAGAACAAAAAGAAACAATTTTAACTGAGCCTCAAACTCACTTGAAGCTCCTGTAGTCATTCATACAATCAAGTATCTACTGAAAACTCTCTGTATGCCAAACATTATGCTAATTGCTGAAAATACAATAGTGAGAAATTTAAAAAGGCATGATCCCTCATGGTGTTCACAAGGACTGCAAATACCAATCAAGTAATTGTTTAAATAAATATTAAATTTTGTTCTGGAATTAAATAAACAGAGTGAGTTTATGAAAGGATGGAGCAAAACTTGAATGACCACTGTCCCTCTTACTTCATTACATATATATATATATCCACTGAAAGAAGTTGTCTATGCAAATCTCATTTTTGAAACAAAGAAGTTATTTTTTATAAAAGTTACCTCATGAATAAATTTACCAAAATGTTCCTGAAAATAAAGTCTCTGTAGCACATTTTAATTACCATACAACTTATAAAAGCTCAAGGTAAATAAAACTTTGCAGGAGCATAGCTACCATACAAAAGAAACCAAGGCACAGAATGCAAGCTAAAGCAAACTGTTAATAGCAAATAATGTGAGAGCCGCCAGATGGCTAATAGGTAAGGGGAGGTGACATTGAAATGTCTATTAGACATAAAAATTTATCAAGTAAAAAATCATAAACATGAACAAGGTATTTCTTGTTTTATGCAAATGAATTTACTGAATTTAAAGGCATAATGAATCTATTTGCAAATGGTAGATACAATAGCCTAATGATTATTTTCATTGATAAAAAATTTGAGGATGGGTACCAGATGTCAATAACTATGAAAAAAATAAGATTAATCAAAGACATAGAAAGTGGATGCCCTAAAAGAAACCAAGATTTTTTTTTTCCATGGTGGTACTGGGGTTTGAACTCAGGGCCTTGAGCTTATTAGGAGGTGCTCATTCTTTCAACAAATATTTGTCAAATGCCTACTGTTTTCCAGATACTTATTTATCTGCTGGGCATATATCATTGAACAAAACACAGCATTTTTACCTTTGTGAAGTTTATCTTTTAGTAAGGAAGCAAATGATAAACAGTAAAAATTACAAATCAGTAGATTATATACGTTAGAAGGTACTGAGCACTACGGAAAAAAAAAAACATGAAGCAGGTCTATGGGGGTGAATATCTGAGATAAGGCAGGTTGCATATTCAGGAGAGTAGTCAGGGCAGGCCCCAAGAAAAATGTGAATTCAAGAAAGACTTGAAGCACATAAGGGAGTAAGCTTATGTCTAGGAGAAGAGCATTCCAGTCAGGGTGAACAGGTAGAGGTGAGATCCTGAGATAGGAGTGAGCTTTAACCACCCCCATAAACAGCAAAGAGCCTGAATGGCCAGAGCAGAGTGTATGAGAGAAAATAAGGTGGCTAGAAGGTCAGAGAGGCACTAAGGGCCCAGAGTATGAGGGTCTTAGAGCTTTTGTAGGTCTCTGGCTTTTACTCAGTCAAGTTGGCAGTCATGTGACTCTGAGCAGAGGAGTGACAAGATTAGGCTATTGTTTTCAAAGAGAAAATATCCTGACCAGGAAGGAGACTGAACTTTCATTACAGGATTGATATGTCAGGCACAAGGCAAAAGTGGAAAGTACAGAAGGATTTATGGCAATTTAACTCAAACATTACAAAAAAGCAAATGTACACAGAGCTAAGATGCACAGTTTATATTACATGTCCTGGTAAAAGGGAAAACAGTTACAGGAAATAAATGAGAGCCAAGGACAACCACCAGAAATCCCATTTGTCCTGGCCCAACTTTTCCCCTACCCACCCCTTTTGATCAGGCATTCTTCCACTATAAGATTCCATTTCCTGCAGTACACAAAATGTTCCAGGAATTAAAACTGATCCAAAATACACGGACCTTAAAGATAAGTATTTTGCATTTAGGACAACCTGTTACCTTCTGCACATAAATGGATATAAAACCTTAAACATATTCTTGCTTTATCAAACATTGTATTCACAGAAGCAGCTTAACCCCACTGTGGGACTTGCTCCAACAAAACCAGCTCCAGATCAGGTGACCCTTCTAACTCAACAGCAGGCAAATCAGGTAAGAATCCAACAGTAAGGAAGATTTACCATCCAGCAAAGACTCTTAAGACTGGTACGTTTTTATGGCTAAACTATCACCACAATACCTTATCCTCCAAATGCTGTGGGGTGCAAAGGTCAGTATTTATGGAGTAAATAGGAATCTAGAATCTATGTGCTCATCTCAGGGTCTCAAGACAGCTTTGGGATTTGAGGAAGCAAAGATATACCTGAGAAATGGCAAGTTTGGAATGTCTTCAAATTAAAAAGTTGGGAATGAGTAATGACAGGAAATCAAACTCTCTAAAAATAATACAGAAACAATATGCAGCTATCAAAAATTACTGTGGCAGAATATCAATGGTTGAAGCTACTTATTGAGGAGGTTGAGTTACATTTGTCAAGTAGACAAATAAGTGAATCAATCAATTAATGAGTTTTTAAAAGACTGGGTATTTTTTTTTAAATCAAGATTTATACAAGATGACCCAAACAATTTATTTGCATATGAGTAAATGTAAAAACAATAAAAAAAAAGATTTACACAGAGTCTCATGATTGAACAAGAGAAAGAGGCTTTACCTTTGGAATAAATAAAGAGACAAACACTTCAATTTAAAAGTTTGAATAAAGAAAGAAAAGCACCCACATTTTTTTCCTTTTGTCTGAATAATAATTTGGTTTAGCAACTACATCTGGTAAAGTTTGAAAATCAGTTGCTACACCTGTTTACAAAACTCGATCATCTGTGCCTTTGAGATACTGACATATGTGTGGTATTTGCAGAGATGGCAGAAAATAGGAAGTGACCTATAAAAATAACTGTAGATTTCTTTATGGTTTTCTTCAGTTTCATTGTTGCCAAGGAGCTGATGTGTTACAGTAAAATGTGTTCCTTAAAAACATATTTAAATAGTTTCAAGAACTGCCTTCTTTTGGCTATAACGCTCCCTCCCCCTCCAACTCTTCCTCTGCTATAAAGGACCTTCTTACCTACGTCTAGACTCTGTAAATTACTGTAGTCAGATAATACCAGAATCTCCTTTCAGTTCTCTTTTTAGTCAATGGACATTATAGAGCACTCAAGTCAGGACCCAAACTCCCTCCTTAAGAAATCTGCAGCTTATACAATTTATAGACTTTCTTTAAGAAAAAATATATAATTACATATAAAATAGAACAATGAAACCTTTTACAATTGCTTTAAGTGGGGCAGGGACAAGGTAAGCGAAGCGAAGAGATGGGCAACCTAACCAATGTATAATGTAAGGGTCCAGAGTTGTCACAATGAATCCTCTCTGTACAATGGATATATGCTAATAAAAATGAAAAATAAAAAAAATAAAATTACATAGGTAAAATCAAATACTAAAGTGAATATTTATAATGAAATAAGAATAAATCAGCTAATAAATACCATAAACTTGATACATTTGCTAGGGCACTTCCCATGACCACAAAAGTGGATAATGAGGCCTAGTAAGTACAGTTCAAGGGTAATAAGACTCTCTGATGCTCCACCTTCATTTATTGTAAGATCACCTCTGACGGGAGTGTAGATTACTTGAGGATATCTACTGACAGAGTAGTGGAAACAGATAATCTGTTGCCTAATCACCAATCTCAATGTCCTGCAGGTCTTCCCTTCTTTAAGTCTAATACCATTAACACAGTTGCTCACGCTGGGATCAGATCTGCAACTGGTAAGTACTCTTTTATGTAATTTTAATACCTATTGTTAAATAAATATAATACCTAATGTTGAACATGGATGGAAGGCAAGAACAGATGGGAATGTCCATCTACAAGTGCACATATGCATATATTGACAACAGATAAGTTAGAAGAGAGGAACAAGGGACAAGTCAAAGAGAACTGGATGCTACTCAACACATCCTCAAATGGTTTTCTTAGTAAAAGATTCTTTAAAGAAATTGATCTAATTTTCAAGTTTTTACTTCTCCAGTTCCTCTCACCTCTTCTCCAAGCTCCTGCCCCAATTTCTCCACCATACCTTTCTTAATGTCCCATACAACATCCCCACACCCACATAAACACTATGATCACTGTTATCACCCCAATAACAAGAACAAACTTTTAAAGGGCAGAAAAATCTTCAGTCTTCTCATAGAATATCTTAGAATTTAATCTGTATGGGGAAGAAAAAGTAAGTTCTTTTCCTTATTAGATTTTTTTCCAATGTTCAGATTTAAATATAATATTAGCTCATGTTCCAGAGTAGATACTTTACTCTGCACCTTTCAGTTTTCATGGGGGATGCCTATGGAGGAATTCACTTCTTCAGAAAAAAAAAAAAAAAAAGCCATCAGAAAAATTCCAAGAACTACTGCTGTTGTAGCCAGAAGGGAAAACCAAAGGAAAAAAATCACCTAAATAATTCTCAAAGAGATGGAGTTAAGTACAAAAGAAAAGCTTAATATGGAAAAAAATTTAGTAATGGACTTTGTTTTCTAGCAGACTAAACAAGTCCTTGAATTTCATCTGTGCCTAATTACATACACAGTAGAATACTTTAAACTTGATTTACATTTAGTAAATACATTTTAGTTTCCTCAATGTTCAAACTGAAAGAAACACAGTGAAAATCTTCATCATTGCCCCATAGCTGAACCCTGCTACAGGTCTGGCACCTGGGGCCCAGACCCTCCCATTGACCTTGGGGGCATTAAATGGACAACACCAGCTGCAGTCACAGGTAAGATCAACTGCTGAACTTCATTAGAGAGTATTTATCTCAGGTTAAGCCTACAGGGTTGAAAGAATTATTTTCAAGTTTCTTAAAAACCGTACCCAGAAAATTTGCAAATGTATATTTTACTGTACATAGAACAGTATTTGATAATTTGGTTCTTGCTGAAGGCCCATGAACAACACACCCACAAAGAGTGTTTCCCCATAACCTCTCTAGAGTACTTTATAATGGGTAACAAGAACCTGTCAGAGAAACTGACAGGAACTGGGATTATTTTCTAGCACATTCTGTTTTCTACTGAAGATGTTCTAGATGATCAAGATCGTCCAAAAGAAAAACTAGGAGACGGACAGCTTACCTCAGCAAACCAAATCCTCCCCTTGGTGCTCTTTTTTCAATGCTCTCCCTCAAAAGTCCCCAAAGACATTTTAGTTACTGTGTTCTCACCTCCCACCATCACTTGCTTTCAGTGAAAACCCTCTCATGCTAATATAAAAAATGACATATTTAATATATCACCATTTTTGGAAGTGTTTGTTTTTAACATTGGACAAAAATCTAAATTCTTAACTTCCTGGAACTTCTCTAAACCACTTACTATCTGGAAAGCTATAATAATCTTTTCAGGACTAGACTAAGTTATTTTTGGATAACTCATTCTCCCCAATATGTGGCCTCAGCCCCACTGTCCCCACATAATGTGTAACTTTTGTTGTTGCTGTTGTTGTTGGCAACATGGTCTAAGGCTTGCTAGGCAGGGGCTTGATCCAGGTCTCATCCTTTTTTGCTTCAGTTATTTTTTGTATATGGTCTCAAGTTTTTGCCCAGAGTCAGCCTCAGACCAAGATCCTCCTAACTATTGCCTCCCATAAAGCTGGGGTTTCAGCTGTGTGCCACAATGCCCAGCTTATTTGTGGACATGAGGGCTCAGTAACTTTTTTTCCAGCTGGCCTCAAATTGTATAATACTCCCAATCTCCTTCTCCTTGTAATTAGCTGTAATTACAAGCATGAGCCACTGCACCCAGCCCATGTTTAATTTTTCTGTAGAGGCACTTATTGTTTATTATCTAGGCAATATGTTAATTATAAAGAATTTAGAAAATACATATAAGAAAATAATAAAATTTGCTCAGAATCCTGTCACACATAATAAACACTATTAATATTCTAGAATATTTTTTCTAGTCATTTTTCAATATATATATTTTTAAACAAAATACATTCTTAATTCTTGCTAATCTAATTATTTTCTACTAAAAAGATTTTGGATAGTTTTCACACCCTGAAATATTTATCTATAACATTATTTTAAATGACTGTTTAATATCCCATTGTATACTAGATTCCCTATTGGGAAAATGTGGGGGTTTTCCAAACTTTTTACTTCCATAAGCAATATTAACTGAACATTCTTGTAAATAAGTCTATTACTGTATCAGTGAGAGTATTTCCTTTGCACCAGTACTTAGGAAGATAAGAGAACCAAAAAACACTTAAAATATCTTGATAAAAATCTGATAATAAAATTCACCCTCTGAAAAAGGTTTGAGAAGCATGCAGGTGAGTTGAAAACCTCTTGCTGGATGTGGTGGCTCATGCCTGTAATACCAGCTGCTTGGGAGACTGAGATTGGGAAGATCAATGCTCAAGGCCAGCCCAGGTAAACAGTTCATGAGACCCCATTTCCAAAATAACCACAGCAAAATGGACAGGAAGTGTGATTCAAATGGTAGAGCATCTGCTTTGTAAGCATGGGACCCCAGTCCTATTAAAAAAAAAAAACTCTTTAATACACGATCCTTGTATAATACATATGCTAATTGTCTGGTGTCTGTCTCAATGGTTCCTTGCTACAACCTTGAAGACAGACTTAGTACAACTTTTTATTCCCCAGAAAGTACCTACCCACTTGAGTCTAAGATTTTAGTGGGCACTATAGATGCTACAAAATTTTCCAGATAAGAGTTTGACATTTCACACTCCCCCACATGCCAAAATGTAATTCAATCCCCATTCTCTGTGGGATTCTTCAGAATTTCTGGGCTATGCCACCACCAAGAGTCCCCATACCTGACCTTCTCCTGGGCAGCTCTAGTCCCTCCAATCTTGCTTCTCCCTATCCAGAGTCGCTCACTTTCTCTGCCACAAATGTAAGTATCTGTTGATAGTGTGCAGTTATCAAAGAAAAGCCAACTCATTTAAGAAGGAATTCTAGAACCACACAACTCCTAATCAAACCTCAGCTTTCCACTTACAACCTATGTCATGTTGGCCAAGTTACTTAACCATAATGTAGTTCACTTTCCTCAAAATTTAAAATGAAAATAATACAAGTGAAACTTCCTCCTTATAAAGATTAAGAAAGTAAATACACAAAAAAGATTTCAAATAGTACCTGCCACACATTGAACATGACGCTTTAGCTGTCATTTCAAATAATTTCTCTACCAGTAACTAAGTAATATTACTGAACAACTAGATAGTCTTTCACTACAATTTTTACTTGGACACTTCTGGTTTCCTCTTTTTAATTTTTTCTCCTTCCACTCCAGCTTTCCTTTAAAGAAGAAATTTCAATTTTGTTTTCTCCCAAATCCTAAGTGTCCCTTCCCCCATATCACTTTCCTAACACCACTCTGAAGGTTAGTTGAGTTTTATTATTGTTCCCATGTTTTGTTGTCAGTAAACAGGACCTAATTGAGAGTTGGGCTTTTTTATAGGGGAATGTGCTTTTTACCTGTTGGTCTTACGGGTACTATTGTACCAGCTGTCTTCAGAAATAATAAGGTTAAGAGTCTATCTCATGGACTGGGATGTAGCTCAATGGAAAAGTGCTTGCCCAGTATGTGTAAGGCTCTGGGTTTGATCCCCAGCACCAAAAAAGAAAAGGAAAAAAAAAAGCATATTTCATATTACTTTCGTATCTTTCATGTTGGTATTAAATTAAAAGCCCCATTTTGATAACCTCCCTGACACTGTGAATTTTCTATAGAAATAGACATAAATCTTTAAGATCCTAGCTTTCTTAGAAAAAACTCTATGCTAGTTTTTAGAGAACAGAATACTAGAGTATACCAACACTTCACCCAAATCTTTTTCAGTTACAAATTCATAATATTTAGCTAGTCATTGGTAACCACTGAATTATTTCTTACCTAGTTCTAAAAACTCTACTAATGCAGGAGTTACTGAGCAACATGTCCCATAATTTCTCACTAGTATTTTATTTTAATAGCAAAAGGTTCAAGCAACTATTGTAAGAGTGAATGTACACTGCTTCAAGAAACCTCTTTGGCTTAAAATATCAATTGCATGTTTTATTTGTCTTCCGAGATGCCATATAAAAGAAATCTAAGAATTGTACCATCATTGTTTCTTAGAATAATTTTCAATATGGAGATTGCTAGAGACCAAAATTATTGGGGTTTTCTTTTTCTTTTTTTTGAAGACAGGCTCCCTAAGTCCCAATATCCCCCTCAATGGCACACTTCCAATGACCAGAAGACCTCCCACTAGGCTTCATCTCTTTAAGGTTCCACCATCTTCACAGGTTGGACCAACCATTTAACACATGAGCCTTTTGAGGACATTTATCCAAACCATAGTATCATTCAATGTACTTCTACCTTCTAAATGTAATGCTTTGGCTGAGTTCTTAAATCTTTCTAGGTTTAATATTCTTCTTACAAACTGGATGAATTCCAATTCCATCGAGTTCTATGAGTCTATATCTATGATTACTACTGATTACTAATAATTATTGGTTAAACAAATATTATATCCTTTTAAAAAATCTCAGTATTTGTGGCATCTGCCAGAACTCATCTTTAAATATATGTTTTAATAAATTTATCTCTCTTTTTGTTCAGATGTTACCAATTATTGTAGCACCACTTGGAACCCAGGTAAGAATATTTTTAATAAAATTTTTATTTTAAATTACCTTGTTGTGAAATACTTAGTCATGTCCTAACTCACCAGCTGGTTACCAAGTTAGCAAATTTTTAATTTGTTTTGCTAACACTTACTAAGCACTATGTGCCAAGTACAGTTCTAAGTACTTTTCATGTATTATTTCATTTACCATTGAAAACAACCTCTTGAAGACATTGTTTTTATGTCTAATTTAAAGATAAGTAGAAATGCAGTTACTCAGTTCTAGTCACACACTTAGTAAATGGTATACCATATGAAGGAGCCAGTCAATCCTCTAAACCAAACTGTAAAGAAAAATTAAATTAATGGGATTAATCTGGTTAGTCATGATTTAGGGGATTTGCTTTTTAATCTCAAATTTCTTTTTAAGCATATGTATTTTTCCCAAAAATGTTCACTTTGTCTCCTCTTTTCTTACTTACTTTCAGGAAAGTAATTCTTTTTTTGTTGTCATATTATTGTTGTACTGTGAGTGTACTGCAACATTTACAAAACATGAAAGTAATTCTTGAGTTCACTGGTAAAATTATCAAGGGCCAAGATCAGTATCAGTATCAGATGAGGTTTTTAATCAAATACAAAATTCCCTTCAACTCCTAATTCCACATGTTGAACTATATCCAAAGAAAACAATCTGAAATACATCATTCTGTACAAAATGTTCATCAAAATAATATTTGTAGTAGAGTAAAATATTGGATATACTTTATAATTTTTTGTGGGGAGAGCAATACTAAGGTTTGAACTCAGGCCCTTGTGCTTACTCAGCAAGCAGTCTACCACTTGAGCCACACCTCCAGCCCTTTTTGTTTTAGTTACTTTTCAAATAGGGTCTTGCACTTTTTCCCTTAGTTGGACTTGAACTGCAGTCCTGCCTCCCACGTAACTATTTTTACAGAGGTGAGCCACAGTACTCACCTTGGACTTAAATTTAAGACCAAAAGAATGATTTGATAAACTGAGTAAAGTAAGAGCAAATACACAGCCATTCAATATTACATTAATTAAAATTTGCCAATAACAGAAATAAATGATTGCTACAGAATACTAAAAGAAAAACAAAAATTGTGTAAATGACCATTTCTATTATGTAAAAAATAAATTAATGTAAATCATCTGGAAAAAAAATGTATCAACCCTGAATGACTGGATTATTCATTTTTCTCTATTGCTCTCTACAGTTTCTAAGATTCCTCACCAAAATGCATCTAGTTCTTAATAATAAAAATACAAATAATTTTAATGCATTATTCAATCAATAATTGTCTGCAGTCCCAAATCATAGGCTAATGTGACTTTTGTGATGTAGATCATATAGTTTGATATATTGTTCAAAATAAAAACCTCTTTATATTTTAAGTTTTTTAATTACATTATTTAGATAGATAAATATATCTTGCTTTGAATATATTAAAATTTGTCTAATACCCTGTGTTTAAAATTTTACTTTTAGGGTGGTATCCTAAGCTCAGAAGAATTGGTAAAAAAAAAAATTTAATCACTGTCATTTTAAAGTCTTTTCACATCTCCACAATGTTTTCTGTCTTCTTATAGTCTCTTTTGACCACAAACCCTAAAGCTAGTATACATACAATAAGCCAAACATTTTTATACATCCTTGAATTCAATTATCCTTTCTCCTACTGGGGACTTCACCAACCTTCTCTAGCTACTTTTCCATTAATTTAACTGAGCATTAATTTTTCATATCTTGTCATCAGATTAAGTTCTAATCCAGAAAATCAATGAGTATTTTTAACTTTATATTGATTAAAATCTAGGATTATAAACTATTGAGTTATGTGCAGATATATAATAATGTAAGTATTAACATTCATTGCAGGAAAGATTAATATTTTTCAAGCATCTGAGAATTTGAATACTCTTTCCATTACACATGAATAACTAGAGGGATGGACCTAAATAAACTTCCTGTTACTGCACTTCTATGCAGTAATTCATAAGTCACATTTAGAGAAAATGACATATTAACATGGCATCTAAACACAACAACAGAAGTATAGAATTGAGGCCATATCTTGGATCATATTTTTTAATTATTTTTGATTATCATATTATTGTAGTATTGGGGTACACTGTGACATTAACAACAGTACTTACAATATATCTTAGTTAAATTCACCCCCTCTATCATTCTCCTTCATCCCCCTAACCCCCAGTCTTAGAATAGTTTCAATAAGTCTCATTTTTCTATTTTCATATGTGAGTACATAGTATTTCCACCAAATTCAGCCTCCTATACCCTTTCCTTATATTCTCTCCCCTCCCACTGGTAGCAACCCCCAGACAAGACCTGTTTTACCTTCCTGTCCTCCGTTTTTGAAAAAAGACATTTTTATTTGCTTAAGATATCTATACAGAGAGTTTCATTATGACATTTCCATGTTTATACGTGTTGCGTGGGATCATAGATTTAAATAGTTTTTCTATTATGAAAGGAAGAGATTTGCTATATTGCCCATAAATAATAATCAAGTTATGGGCCCAGTGTCTCTTTTGCCAACAGTGATACATGAACAACCACATCTGCCAGTTAGCAGGGTGCTTCTGGCTTCAATATCCCTTCAATATAAAACAATGATTCCCAAGTTTCAGTCTTGGCCCAGCAACTCAGGTTGACTTTAAGAGCTAGTTTAACATGCAGACTGCTGGATCCTGCCCCAGACATGCTCAATTAGAATATCCCTAGCAATGAAAAATTCCAAAAGAGAGGAGTTCCTGCAGTGACCTCAGAAAACACTTAAGTGTTTTTTGTGACCATTCAGTGACTGAATATTCCAATGCCTTTGAAAAATATGTAGAAAGAAACCTGAAATGACACAAGCTATGAGGGTGATGACTTGTTAATCTACATGAACTAATTTTTCCATTAATTTTTAGTCTCTGAAATTACTGTTTTAGGTCAGTAACAGAGACACAGACTATTGTTAATATATGGACTTTCTTACTATTACCCCCTAATACTAATAAACTCCATTTTCCCATGACTGATTGGTGAGCCTTAAAATTTATTCCTTATGATTTTGTTTTTTTCTTTTTCCTTCCATCATTCTAGCCATTGGCCTCACAGATCTTCACAGGCCTCCTTATCCATCCCCTGTTCCCAGGTGGCATTTTGCCTACCAGTCAGTCAGGGGCTAACCCAGGTGTCCAGGATGGAGTCCTTCCTGCAGGACAAGCAGCAGTAAATCCTGCAATCCAGGGAACCACAAAGGGCCATGTCTCAACTCCCAGTGTCACAGATGATGACTTTGAAGTAACGACCGCAGGAGGCATCCAAAGAAGCACACATACTACTAAGGAAGCTGCTACAGAATCACCACATGGTAAAATCCTCACAGCTTGGAAAATGCACTTTGGCCAAGGAAGTTAACTGCAGAATGGACCAGAAAAGTTCTTTGTGTTGCCTTGACAAATGCAGATCTTAATTAAAACAGAGAGCAGTCCATACTCACACACAGTTGATTTAAGCCACATGAAGGAATGTTTTTTTGGGGCCATCAAACCTCTGGTATTAACCCTGAAAGATGATAGTTAATTGTTTGGCAAGACATACTTACCATATTTGATCAGAACTGGAAATATCTGGAAGTGAACTATATTCTTATTCCTGTCTTTCCCCACACACCAACACACACACACAAAATAGACACACTTCATCATGATCCTTTATCAAGTCACTGGTTAGAATGAGCCTCAGAACAAGCAGCCAGTGGTAAGAGACTACAGTTAGCATTCCCCACAGAAGAAACTTAAGAAATGTTGCAAAAGTAAGCTTTTCTAACACCAACTAGCAAAGATAAGTGCTTATCACATAGGTATGTCTACAACCAAATATTCTTAGATACTAAAAGATTAATTTTATATTGATACTCTTAATCCTGGAAAAGAAACTTTATCTTGAGTTTTTTTTTTCCTGTTTCTGCACATTATTTATTTAAATATTCACTTTCTGATCCAATTAGTTATACTTTCAATGATACTTTTTTTTTCTTTTATTATTCATATGTGCATACAAGGCTTGGGTCATTTCTCCCCCCTGCCCCCACCCCCTCCCTTACCACCCACTCCGCCCC